GGAGGAGCCAGAGCAGATGGGTGTGCAGCAGACAGGCTTGCAGCAGAGAGTCACACAGCAGGATGACTGGCAGCATGAGGGCTGGCAGCATGAGGGCTGGCAGCATGAGGGCTGGCAGCTAGACTGCTGGCAGCATGAGGAGGAGCCAGAGCAGATGGGTGTGCAGCAGACAGGCTTGCAGCAAAAAGTCACACAGCAGGATGGCTGGCAGGGGGAGCAGGTGCAGCAAGCTGGCTGGCAGCTAGACTGCTGGCAGCATGGGGGTGCGCAGCAGCTGCTGCAGCCAGACTGGCAGCAGGGGCTGGACACACAGCTCATTGGGGTGCAGATGAGGCATGGAGTCGTGGCACAGCAGCTAGGGGCACAGCACGGGGGCTCACAGTAGCTCTCTTGGCAATTGTCTGCCTGCCAGGAGGCAGTGTTGCAGATGCTGGGCGAGCATATGCGACTGCCACAGCTCCGGTTAGAACATACAGATGTGGTGGATGCAGCAATCACACAGGTCCTTGTGCAGCAGGCGTCAGCCATGGTCGGGGTTGGACCAGGAAGGGTGCTTGTGTGAGTGTGGGTGTGAGTTTGAGTGAATGTGTGTTTGTGTGTGTGAGGTGCCTGGCCCTGGGGTTTTTATGTGTCTCCTGTGTATGTTTCCTTATGAGTGTGGCCATCTTTCTTTTCCTTGTTGTTCATCTTGCTTTCAGACAACACAGGCAGTTTACGATCGGGACCGTGTGTCATAGCAGGGCCAGGTCACATCCTTATCCTGGAAGTGATCATGAGACAGCACGGCTGGGTGGAGCTGGTACCTGTGAACTCCCGCTGCTGCCTTTCACATTGTCCTCAGGAGCACAAGCTCCATCAGGCATGGTTCCCTCCGGCCCAGTGTCTTGCTGTCTCCATGCTGTAGGCCTGTAAGCCAGTGTTTGCTGCTTTATGGGTTCCTTTCTCTTCAACCCCTCTTCGTCCTTTCCCTTCTTCCCTTTCAACCCCCTAACACTAGATATGAAAGAAAAAAAAAAAGAGAGAGAGATAAAGGGGGCAAAGTTATCGTTAGATTACATCCTGCTGATTAGGGGGAGTCAAGTTCCTTGGGGCAAGTTTGATCTTCACCGTCAGGATATCTAATTTCTTCTTTGCACATGACTACTTTAACAAACTATAACCAACAACCAACCAACAACAACCGGACAACCCGCCATGCCTCTCGGGGCCCTAGCATTTATGTACCCTCTGAAATGTCACCAGAATTCCAACGGTCACGCACTCGCAGAAACAATCTGCAGCTGGCAAAACCACTGCTAGAACTCTGCTAGAGCACGAGGCAAACCACAGTCAGCTGCTATGAAGCAGGCCCATATCCCCACACCTGGGACTAAAATGAAAACATACTCTTATATTCTGTGTTTTTAAAGAAACCGAGATTCCAAAATTCTTGCTATATAGGCCGCTCTGTTCCTACTGATGGCTTATCTACACCTCGCCTTATCTACACCACACAGATTCAGGGGTCCCTGTTCTCTGTCCCACAGACTCAACAGTGGGTCCCACAGATTCTTTGTTGCACAATCACTTATTAAAATAACACACTTATTCTGTGGGCTGTTGTAGTTGTTGTTTGAGTGTTGTCTTTAGATATGACCCAATTTCCTACCGTGGAGGGCAGCATTCTCTTGTCTCACCTCCTTAAGCGCCCCCCCTCCCATCCTGAAGGCAGCATTGGCTCCCTGTGCCCTTAAATCAGGGCACCAGCCCTTTACTGTTCGGTGTTATTTTATTTCACGTCTATCTCAGTATTATCTTCGTTGAGTGTTTCTGTGTAGGGTGGACAGGTTAATCTCTGTATTCATATGCATTCTGGTTTTGTTTTTTCCCTCTTGGAGTTGGTCACTTCTGTTTGTTTTTGTTTTTCTGTACTCCAATCATTACATCTTCCCAGTCTGTCCCCTAAGTGTCCCCAAGCCCTGAGGACTGATGGCAGTTACTCCAGTAACTGATTGCATCGTTTCTTGTAATTATCGCTTCCAGGACTCTGAATTCACAGGACTGGCTGAACTGAGCATCCCTCAGCCCTGGTATCTCTCACATCTCTCACCCCATGCCCCCTTCTGTCCTCCTCTTCCCCCCCCCCATCACCCAGCACTGGGCGCTCTCAGCCCTTTTCCCTCCCTCAGCACTGGCGTTGTGCTGTTATCCTGTGTTCCCCTCATTATTTCTTTGGCGTTTTCTTTATTTTTCTTCAGTGACGGCTTCTTGTGATCTCTTTCTGCACTGATGCCCTTGTCTTGGTAGAACACATCCTTTGGGGGCTTTTTTGGGAACAGACGCAGGGGTTTTAGTCTAGTATTCCATGGCAAGTACTACAATCCAGTTCTCCTAGTGCCATTTGTTGAAAGGCTATCTTTCCCCAGAGATACTTTAGCACCTTTTTTTTTAGTTGAGGGAGCGGGGCTAGAATTTAGCATTGAGTACCTTCCTTTATTACTCTCCACCTTATTTTTTCTGAGGCAGTGTCTCTCACTAAATCTAAATCTCACCAATTCAGCTAGAGTGGCTAGCCAGTGAGCTCCAGTGATCCTCCTGACTACCACCGCAGTGCTGAGGGTGAAGATGCTCGCTGCTGTGCTCAGCTGTCACCTGAGTGCTGGGAATCTGCTCAGGTCATGCGTGTGAGGAAAGCACTTTGGTACCTCTCTCTCTCTCTCTCTCTCTCTCTCTCTCTCTCTCTCTCTTTCTCCCCTATAACTTGGTCTTCTATTTCTCTAGTCTCCACGTCTACTTCTTTGCTGGCACCATGCTGCTTTTGGTATTTATAACTGTTGTACAGTTTGAGACAGAGCAGTGTGACACCTCCTGCGTTGATCTCTGTATTCCAGATTGCTTTAAAACTTAAAAGTCTCCCAAGCTGTGGTGTGGTGGTGCATACTTTTAACCCCAGCACTTGGGAGGCAGAGGCAGGGGGGATCTGTAAAGTCTATGAGGTTGGCCTGATTTACAGAATTCCAACACAGTCAAGGCTACACGGAGGAAGTATATCTCCAAGACAGACAGACAGACAGACAGACAGACAGAGAGACAGACAGACAGACAGAGAGAGAGACAGACAGACAGACAGAGAGACAGACAGACAGACAGACAGACAGAGAGACAGACAGACAGACAGA